AAATCCACATTTAAAAAAAAATAAATAAATAGTACTTCCGAGCATAAGCAGATGAAGTTAATTCCTGTAAAAGTTGCGCTTAGCACCTCACCTTCAGGAGCTTCCCTGTTGGTCAATGTGGCTGCCCATCATATTAAAAGACTGATCAGAGGCCTTGGAAGGAAAATGGGATGGGTCGAGCTTGATGGCAGAATGGATGGACAGAGCAGAAGGGGATGGGCCAAGTCAAGCTTGACAACTGAAGTGGATTGACCAAGTTTGATGGCAGAAAAGGAATAGACTAAGCTGATTGGCAGAATGGGATTGGCCTAGCTTGGGAGCAGAAAGGGATGGGCAAAACGTGATTGCAGAAGGGGATGGACCAAGCTTGACAACAGTAAGGCATGGGTAAAGCTTGACAGCAGAATGGGATAGGCCAAGTTTGACAGTAGAATGGGATGGACCAAGCTTGACAGCAGAAAGGTGTTGGACCAAGCTTGACAGCAGAAAGGTGTTGGACCAAGTTTGACAGCAGGATGGGGCAAGCTTGATTTTTTACAAAAAAATTGCATGTAAAATTGCATGTCAAGATTTGCATGTAACTTTACCTGCTTAATCTACTGATTGTCTTTCAGTGGATATAACCACTGCATATGCATTGCTTCCACTTATACCCAGTTTGAATTGGCCAGATTTGTGACTGCCTTGCTTAAACTGGGAATGTTGGCATCTCAGCAATTATTAAATAAGTAGGCGCTTACTTTTGTATGTGCACGTATACATAACATCACAAAAAAAAGGTCAAGTTTATAAACTTTTGCAGAAGTAGTTTATCCAACAGGCACAAATAATAAGCAATAGTGCAATAAACCCTATATACATATTAAGGATATTAACAAAAATACCATTTTATGTAGAATACATTTCTTCTTCAACTTTTAAAACACACTTTTCCACAGCAGGGATCCATCCTCCAGCGTTATCCCTTATCGTATCCTTAAAAACCTGTTACGGGAATTTTAGTTTTGCAATCGTTTTACTCTGAGTTTGGAAAACTCTTTTTGTTTGGCAGTCTTTGAACTTTATAAAAATGTTGCTTTACTTATCTGTACATTATATTGCTAAACCAAAATAATTTACAGCAACAGAGTTAATTTGCTATTTTTGTTTTATGATAGAATTCATTTATCTTTAAAATAAAATATATTCAGACACCAAAAAACAGTGATACTATAAAAACAAATGTATTTTTAGTGTGTGGCTGTAATACATAACGGTTCTCATAATTTTCAGGTTTAAATGATTATTACAGTTATATAAAAACTGGACACATTGTTGTTAATAATAAATGATAAATAACCTTTTTAACTGCACTCAATTATGTTATTTCAATATAGATGGTATGCTGCAATGCCTACAGGTAGAAAGCACCAGAAACACAACCCATCTATTACATATGCACTGTGCTATACCTAATCCCCAATACTTTATATGTATTACCATAAAACCATCATGTGCATCACAAGCTTATCAATTTAGTAAATTATTGTGCAAATAATCCAATCATGCGCATCTCATTAACCACAATATAGTAAATAAGTGTGTCAAGGGTCAAAATTATAATCAGCAGGTGTGTGTGTGTGGTTTTAAAGTTTTGGATCACTGTGGTGTGAAGATATATATATTAAATGAAAATGAAAACTAAATAATTGGAAATGATAAAAAGAATATCACAGTATTTGGACATGTTGCATTATTTCATTTATTATATATGTATATACTGTATATCTGCTGATTATAATTTGGAACCTTAACACGCAATTATTTGCTATATTGTGGTAATGAGTTGCACATGATTGCACAATAATTTACTAATTTGATAAGATTGTGATACACATGATGGTTTTATGGTAATACAGTAAACTCCCCATTATCTGGCATCCACAGGGATTGGTAGATTCCAGATAAATATAGTTTCTGGTTACTTGAGAGTTACTATTAAAAATAGGTATAACTAATACCATACCCAGTACTATACCATAACATAAACTATGACTTCATATTAATATTGAAATGCAGTATTCAAAAGCAAATAAGACAAATAGGCACATGATCGATTCCAGGATAATACATGCCACAGATCAGCAGAACAGTGAGTATACAGGGGATTTTTTTTTTTCTAGTTAGATGAGAGTACTGGTGAGATGAATTCCGGATAACAGAGAGTTTACTGTACATATAAAGTATTGGGGATTAGGTATAGCGCAGTGCATATGTAATAGGTAATAAAGGATAGCCTATGCTGCAACATTATCAGTAGGAGATATCTGAATAAGCGGGAGTCTACAGGCTACTTATATGTACAATGTATGGGGCTGACATGAGGAACAATTCTTGCTATGAACAATTTGCAGGACTGAGCACAGGTATACAGAACAATGTATTATTTTAGTAATTTTGTCTTGTTCTGGGTATGTCAAAAATTAATTTAGCTCCTGATGGAAAGAATCCTATTTCCTATGTGTGCAGAAATTACAGAAATTATTGAAACTGTCTCCAAGGAACCTGCACTGCTATTCTGCCTTTGTGTGCTGAATAAACGGTGTTAGTATTAGAGTAAACCCATTACAAAGTAATTTGAATTAAAAATTATATAAATACAATAGTATGCATGTAGTGACATTGCTGCATACAAGGTGACTGGTGGAGCTGCCACTATAGTGAATGGAGGGTCATGGGCAAACTTTTCTTCTATCCGAAAATAACAGGGGCACATATCATGGCACATACATTTAGGTTTGAACTAGCAATATAAGAATACTGGCACTTGCTAGAAAAGTAAAGTGTGCTAAAACATTGCAACATGATTTACTAATCACTAATAACCTTGGCTAATTGTCTTGTTTTGCCCTCCTTGTCTTTCAGATAACATATTAACACAAATCATGGACAATCTAGGGCAAAAAGGCTGAAAGAGAAAGTTTTCCCACTCTGCGATCACCGAGAACCAATGGCTAGAAATACAGTAAAATCTGTAACCTTATTCTGTTACCAGATGCAGGGATCCTGGATGTTGAGACCCAGAACTGGTGAACTTTTAGGTGAACAGTAGACTACTCCTCCAATTAAAAATTGTGCAGGGGCAGCATCTTGGGTGCTTGTTTCTTTGTGGCTTGTCCTACCCACATGTATACAAGATCCAAAAGAATGGTAGCCACACACAAAGTTCTTAACCGGCAATCAATTTTAAGGTTCACACAGTACAACCCATAAAACCTCCTTCCACTGACACATGACACTACTAAAAGCTTAACAGTAGAAACACCATTTTGCTCAGTCAGGGAAGGTAAAGGGAGTATTTTGTTTACTTTATGAGGTTTGTGCAACACATTGTAACTGGATTTAGGACTTGATTAGAAGTCTTTAATCGAACTTTAAGTAGCCATACTGCCTTCCATGGTCAGGCTCATGTTATTCGGTCGCAGTGTAGTTTACAAACACACAGAAAGCAAATCATTGGCCATAACATTGTGTACTGGTTGTGATGAAACATGCAACACAGTTAAAAGACTTTGTACATATTGTAAGCATTACACAGAATTAGGCATAGCAGTAGCTGGTTCTGGCTGGTATAAGTTCTCAATAAAGCATTTGCATTGCATTTGCATAAAGCATTTGCATTGCAGATTTTTAAAGGTAAGTCCAGACAAATCAATACTTCGACTTAATGCTGATCATATACTTATGGGTCTGGCCGTCATAACAGTCTGATTAAATTAAGCAATTATCGCTGCTTTTTCTCTACCATTTTGATTGGTTTCTCATCATCAAAGTATAGGGGAAAACATTTGGCTAGGTTGGTAAATTCTGATGGTTATTAAGGGAGTCAGATGCTGTATGTGCAATCAAAACAATCACTTGTATCATCCAGAATCACCTGCAACTAAAGTTGACTGAAAATAAGTGTGTGTATCGCCAGCAATACACACCATAAACAAGTATTGCACTGTTTTGAGGATTTCATGCAATCGATTATGAAAGTTATCATTCTTTCATTAAAACCATTGCTTATACTGAACAACCAATATAATGGGCAGTATTGCACAGTTTCTGTCAGTGGGGATCATGGTCATTACAGGGTGTACTTAAGGGACATGTGGTGAGGTTAGTGGGAGGTGAGGCAAGCCAATAATTCACCCACAGGAGGGAGACTCCCTTGCTTGGTTTCATAATTACATAGTTAGTCGGGGCGAAAAATGGCAAAAGTCCATTGATTGTAACCTAACCTGTTCTGTGATACAGAAGCAGGAATTGCAACTGGGTGATTTCTTCTCCACCATCATTAGGAGATATCAGGAGCAAATCGGTGAACAGTGTACTTGGCACCTGAAACATGTTTTGGTTAGATGGGTCCTTTCAAGATCTACAATAGAGCAAAATGTGATGGAGTTTACATTACCGAAGACTGGAATACAGAAAGCCGGAGCACATCATTGACAGTTGCCTATACCAACTATTCAAATCCCTTGCTTTATGTGAAAGCAGGGTCAGATTTTCCATAAGGCACAGTAGTCATGTGTCTATAGGTGCCACTCCAGGAGGCGGATCTAAAATTGCTTGGACCGGCTATTGGGTATAATACATTATACAAAATCTCTGCTCAATCATATACAGCCCATTACATTTCACATAGACTCTGCTGGATATTCACAAAGATGCAGACTGTTGTATATAAATAGTCAGGTTTTTTTTTCTGCACAATCCAAAATGGTCATGGACAAAAAAAAAAGCTAAAATAGCATAACAGGGATTTGTCCTATTTTTTGGTGGGTCTTATTGTGCCACTTTTTATGTGACTATAGGCTCCTGAGATGTAAATCTGGCGCTATGTGAAAATCAAAGTCTGATTAATTGCTATAGACAACCGCTCCAATTTTGGTGCAGTCTCACATGAACAGTACTCCAGTTTGAGTGCAAATTCACTTGTCCATTCTCGTGACAAATTACAAACAAAAAGAGGTTTAACACATAAAACAGCTCTGACTAAATAAAAATAAATAGATATGGAGAACAGAGAGGAAGGAGGATTCACTTTTTGTGAAAGACCAGCGGCTTTACCATCCCTGCAAGGATTTTGGGGAGCTGGGCCGATATGACCTCTGTCATCATTTCCGGGAACTCTACTTTTAACGCCCGAGACTGAAGGAAGGTGTTGAGGCAATACAGGTGGAGTTGCTTGACTAGCTGTAGATAGAGAAGCATGGATGATGTTACAGGAGATGATATCACCAACTTATGAAATGGGAAAGGGCCTAAAACAAGCAATTGTCACACCCACGGCTATATTTTCAACATTTCAAATAAAAAAAACACCCATTAAATCAATAATCAAAGGATATGACAAAGGGGTCTAATTATAAAAAGAAAAATTCACATAACAATTTATCAATCAAAACTACATGTACATTCCTTCTGTGTGAATTAAACAGTTAGAGAATCACGGAAAATTAAATGTTCTTAACCACTTGATTACTGCAGCAAGATTTTAATTTTTCACACACCTGTTAAATTTGGAATCTTTGGCTAGAAAACAGCTTAACCCCCCAAACAATTATATATTTACTAAAAGCAAAGGCCCTGTAGAATTGTTGCAATTTTTATGTTGCACGATATTAGCACAAATGTTTATCAAATCTGTATTGTTAGGGAAAAATACAGAGCTCATTGGCTGCCGGCTCTATTCGTTGGTATGCCAGCGAACAGTTTGCTAACAGTGGCACCCAATGTGTGAATGTCTTCCGGTTCCTTATGAACGAGCAAAAATGTGCGTAGTGTATGGCCACCCATAGAGGCTCTATGATTAAGTACAAGTATGCATATAACACGATAGATATTTTGTCTGAGCAATATGCTGTATGCCAATTGGTAAATCAAAAATTACACAACCATCTTTAACACCTGAGCACCAGATGTCCTTATAGTTCCTGCATCATTCATGGGTGGTTTTGAGCTGATGTGTGCACCCTGTCAGGGTATCCAAGTGGACCAACCTGGAGCAGAACCTAATACATGAGCTTACTTATACTGTCATCGCTAACATGCCCCAATGACGCATGAATCATAATCAATTCATACAGTAGGGCCAAGCTGCTTTGATTCAACATTTGTCCAATATTTTATTTTTTATTTTATTAAACTGAGTTGCTGAGATGATGATCTCTCAAACTGAGATGGCTAGGCGTGTGCTGGCCACCTTCATTCTAAATATTATCATGACCAGTGTGAATGTAGAATGGTCAGTAACATTGCCTTTACTGAGGATGCACTTACTTCATGCATGGAGTCCATTACTTTGGTCAGGTGATAAAACCGCTGGGAACTCGCAACAACTCCTTTGTGCCTTAAGTTGATGGCCTTTGCCAATTCTCTAATGTAATTAGACCTCATCTCATCAAAATGACTTTGACTTTTAAGACCTTCCAAAGGAACTAAAAAGAGAACAAAATATATATATATATTTGCAATATAAAACAAAAGTTTAAAAAAACAATCACATGCACAGGAGCTTGATGTGTGGGTTAGGGGTATGATTGATGAGGGGGTATGACTGATAAGGGGGTATGATTGATGAGGGGGTATGATTGATGAGGGGGGAAAGGGGGTATGATTGATGAGGGGGGTAAGGGGGTATGGATGATGAAGGGGTAAGGGGGTATGAATGATGAAGGGGGAAGTTTTGCCCAGGGATGGACTTGAATGAAATCTTGAACACATCATGTGCCTGGTGGACATAGTTAAATAAATCCTGCCATAATAGAATTACAGGGTCTACAATTGCTTATCTACTTCTATTATGGTGGTTGCCTGTCTCTTTTGGGCTTTATTAGTTTCTAAAATACTGGCCAAGAACAAGAATGCAGCTACTAAAGTCATTAAGTAAAGTATAGATGCAATTTGGTCAGAATTATAGCCAGACAATAAGCATTTTAAGAAGGAGGTCATGCAATGGCAGCCTCTGCATTTCTCTCACTACAAGGTTCCTCTAATCACTGAAGCTGACAAGCTCAGTTCTCCTTCCTTAAAGTGACATTAAAGGCTATTTGTTCCGCCCAATGCTGCTATAAGCAAATACCATATATGATGCCTCTTGATGCGATCATCTTCTTTATTTTACCTGTTTCTGACAGTCCCTCCAGCGCTGGTGCCGGTCTCTGATCCAGCGCAGACTCCTAGTGTCCCACGGACTCTATCCAGTTTGCACGATTTCGGCTGCCTGACTGTGTCCATTGAAATTTAATGTCTCTTTTCTCCCCTCCGCTGCACATGCGCCCGCACACTTCCTCCTTCACACGGAGGCGGGAGTTCTTCAGCTGTGGGCGAGCGGCGCTGGAACAGGTAAGTAATTCGGTATTTGCCTGCTTGTTTATTATTTTTTAAATCATGGGGCATATATCTACTGCTTGCTAGCAGTAGATATATGCCAAAAAAATTAGACTTTAATTTTGCTTTTAATAGATCGCCTATCAAAAAAATGAATATCACAGTAAAATATTTTTATATAGGTTGTTCTATGGTTGCATTTCCCTGGCAAAATAGACCAGAGGTTGAAAATTCACACCACTACTCCATCTGCAGTTAATTTCTGTTTCTGCAGCACAAAATGTTCACCTTTAAAGTGATACTCCACGGCTAAATACATATTCAGGGTCTATAGAATATTATTCATGGGCTTTTGGGGTTTCCAATTACCCACTATCTCTACAAGTACACAGCTTCAAAGAGATGAAGCAAATTAAAGCAGAGATAAAGTAGGGATATCACTCATGGCAACCAATCAGGATTAATTTATGAGATGAAAGAAAGTAACTATGGACAGCAGCTCCACTTTTGTTTTACCTTCATTTGCTCTAAGTTCCAAAAATAAGCCCTTGCACGATGACATCACTAGTCAGGGTCCTGACAGGAAGCTGAGGCAATCCTGAGATATGGTATTTTAAATGAATACCATATTTTAACCAAAATTGGAAATCCCTTTTACTATGTGCATAGGTCTAGGTGAACAATTAACTACACAGTTGTATTACAGTATATGTAAAGTGGCTTACTTGCCAATAGACTTGTAGTGTTTAGCCAGTCTTGTGGTTTAGGTCCTCTTGCCAGATTGCAATACCAGGTCAGTGACCTCACTTTTTCTTCACTGCAGTTAAGCAGCAGACTTGGTCGTGGCCCTCATCCCTCGCCCCCTCCCAATAACCTGCTAATTCAACAAAGGAGGAGCACAATCCGATTGATGACGTACTCACTTTGCTCTCTGTTTTCTCTTAGGGTTAGAGTGATAGCCACCATGCAATGCAATAGAGCCGCACAAGGTCACAGTGCTGCCCCTTCTCCACTAAATCATGTAGTCATTCAAGGTCCAATCAAAAAGAAACTAAATTAATTAACTAGCTATATACACTGTCTGGTCAAAAAATAAGTCACACCTGGATTTCGGGCAGTGTTATGATCTGGGGTTGCTTCAGTTGGTCAGGTCTAAGTTCAGTAACATTATGTGCCCAAAAATTGAGGTCAACTGCCTACCTGAATATACTGAATGACCAGGTTTTCCATCAATGGTTTTTTTTTCTTCCCTGATGGCACATTGGGCATATTCCAAGATGACAATGCCAGGATTCATCAGGCTCAAATTGTGCAAGAATAGAAAATTGTAAAATATGCGCTTGTGGGTGGGTACAGTATAAAAGCTGCTGCGCTATGAACCCTAGGGTCAAAATTGATAAAGTGCTAAATGTGCAGCGCTAAAAGGTGATAATTTGATAATTTAGTAAAAATCTTTAAATCAGGTGTAAACAATATCACAACAAGTAATATAATTATTAAGTGTTATAGTGCAAAAATCAGCTGAACAGCAGTGTTCAAACAATAGTGATGGGCTATTAAATAGCTATTAAATGGCCTCAGTGTAAACAATGAATTCACTCTTTTGTCACCCTGATGGTGATAATTTCAAAACGTGCATCAATAAATGTAAATGGCTGTTTGCCAGCCTAAACAATAGAATTTTAAATCAGTCCCAGATGGAGATCCATTTAACATAATAGCAAGGGCAATATCAGTGATATAATTTAGACCTGTGACCCCCTGAGGACATCATCCATGACGAAACGTGTCGGGGCGGGTCTATTCTAGTTGATACCACGTCCAACCAGGAAGTCGCAGACGATCTAGACGCTGCATTTTACCGGCCGGTTTTCTCGATTTTAACTGTAAGTTTTTTATGTTTTTTGCAATAAACGTTTATACCTACCACACCATGAGGAGGTTTCTTTTATAATTTTATAAACCTATGACGGACGGGACATTGCCGGAAGAGACACCAGGGATGTGGACCCTCTGATCTGTTAATACTGCTTTATCACCTCAGCAGTGGGGTGAGTGTGCACCCCAGAGGGGGCATTTGTGGACACTTGAAGCACAGTGGTGTGGGAAGAATTTATTCAACATTTTGAAACATTTGTTTGAAGTTTTCATCGAACTCACTTTGAATTATATCACTGATATTGCACTTGCTTTTATGTTAAATGGATCACCATCAGGGACTGATTTAAAATTCTATTGTTTAGGCTAGGGTTGCACAGATACCAAGTACAGTACTCGGTACAAGTACGAGTACATGTACCGATACTTTTGAGCTCCAATACTAGACTAGAGAAAAATTCAAAAATTAGGAGGCAGCTGTCATTTGTAAGGAGTACACGGAGCTCCTGGGATTTGTACATCTCTGTTTTAATGTACGATTTTGTTTTTATAAATATAAATAAAGGGATGCACAGATACCAGTTTTGCGAGTACGAGTACTGGTACTTGCAGAGTACTTACAAGTATGAGTACTGATACATTTTTGTTTATTGTCATATGACAGTTTTTCTAAAACAATACAGACTAATGATTTCAGGACAGTGGTGAAGCGCCAGAGCCAGGTCCCAGCTGCAACCGCTGTAACCCTGGTAGTTCTCATGAAAATGCCAAATATCGGCACTGGTACTCGAAAAGTATCTGTGCAACCCTAGTTTAGGCTGGCAAACAGCCATTTACAGTTATTGATCATTATTTATGCACTTTTTGAAATTATCACCATCAGGGTTACAAAAGAGTGAATTCATTGTTTACACTGAGGCCATTTAATAGCTATTTAATAGCCCATCACTATTGTTTGAACACTGCTGTTCAGTTGATTTTTGCACTATAACACTTTATAATTATATTACTCTTTGTGATATTGTTTAAAGATTTTTACTTAATTATCACCTTTTAGCGCTGCACATTTAGCACTTTATCAAATTGTGCAAGAGTGGTTCAGGGAGCATGAGATATCATTTTTACACATGGAAATGATGTCTCATGCTCCCTGAACCACTCTTTGATGAGTTTTAATGAACACATAACTAGATTAAAGGAGTTCAGCCTTATTATCACTCAAATCCTAAAACAGAAAAATATTCACCCAGCAAATTAGAAACAGAAACGGCTAGAGCCATCTAATAAAATTAAGACAAGCACGCCAAGCTCTTTCTGAAGCAATTGAGCAGTTTGTAAAATAATCCACTTTACGATTTCCTGGAAACTGATGCAAATACATGCTCCTCTTGACCCCATTTATAATATTATTTGAACGATAACGAAGCAGAAAAGACTTCAGATATTCTGATTATCACAACTACATATCAATGACAGGCAGTAAATTGGAAGGTTTATTGGTTGTAAGTACTCAGTGTTTGATATACGTTAGAATATGAAATTATTTATTTATTTTTGTGTTCTCCATAAATGTATTAAAATAGAACTTGTTTGTGAAACACGTACAAATGATGCCGAAGATAGAAAGTAAAATATTATAATAGTTTCCAACTCACTGGCATTGGAGGTCTGACCATCGTTATGGAAATCCATCACCATGCAATGCCTGGATTTAAGGAGATGATTGGCATCTTTCCAATGCCGATATGAGGGGTCATCTTTCCTGAAGGCAACTCCTGCTTCCAGTAATACTGACTGCAGCCTCCAGGCTCGCTATATCCCGCTGTGTACTGAAAAATCTGATCCTCAGATAGCAGCCTATTGAGCTCCATGCAAAGCAATTCTCCTATCTCCAAACATCGCCCCCTAGTGGTGGTTTGTTTACAGCAAAGAGGAATGCAAATGTAGTCCAGGCCATGCCACTAGAAACAGGAATCATCTTCAGAAAAGTTACTTCATCATACAGGCATTTTTCATTGGCGGCAGTGACAAGTGCAAATTAAATATATTTTTATTCAATTTTGTATTTAACTATACAATTTAAGGGTTAACCTTAAGAGTTGGATTGGTTATTGGATAATTCGGGGGAGGTCAAGCGTTAATTTTAGAGGTTAAAATTTATATCTAGGCATAATCCAAAATGTATGCCCAAATCGTCCTCTTCCCCTTTTCTTTCACCTTGTTCCTATAGTAAGAACAGCATTTATTACCCCAGAGATGTCATCACCAGGCTTGTAGGGGCAGCTTTTTGGAGCTCAGTTCCTATTGATGTAGGAATGTCCCCAGAACTACATCTCACAAAAGCCTAATTTTTAAACACTGACAGAGTTATTCATTACAGGGTGAAGAGTTTGGAGAAGGCAGGAGAAGTGAACAATCTGGGACAACCATAGCTGAACTGGAAAGTGACCTGAATTGGATAATTTTCCCAAATCAGCTATATTTGCCCAGATTGTTCTCTTCGCCTGCCTTTTGTGAATAACCCTGTGAGTGTGGGCAGATTCTTTGGAATCAAAGTAGAAGTATTGTTTTGGTGGGAAAGAAATCAATGTACAGGTGAAACTCGAATAATTAGAATATCGTGCAAAGTTCATTTATTTTACTTATGCAACTTAAAAGGTGAACTAATATATGAGATAGACTCATTACATGCAAAGCAAGATAGTTCAAGCCGTGATTTGTCATAATTGTGATGATTATGGCTTACAGCTCATGAAAACCCCAAGAACCCCAAATCCACAACCTCAAAAAAGTAGATTATTACATGCAATCAATAAAACAAGGATTGTACATAGAACAATATCGGACCTCTGAAAAGTACAAGCATGCATATGTACTCAGTACTTGGTTTGGGCCCCTTTTGCAGCACTTACTGCAATTACTTTTGCACAATATTCTAATTATTCGAGTTTCACCTGTATAAATGGAGTTGGACGAAGAGGGGCATGGATAGGCAAAGTTCTGTAGTTCAGCAGGTCGGGCTGACAATGCTGGTTGGGATTTCAGTGCACCAGAAGCACTGTGTTTCCATTTCAAACAATTCGAGGTTAGAAGAATGCTGGATTTCTAGCAGATCAACAGGCATTGTTCTAATGGTAGGTTTTAAAAAAACGGCACTCGCAAGGGGACGCGTCCATCTAATACTTTGTTTGCAAAAAGGCATAACAGCATCAAATAAACAAACGCTTACATGTTTCAGCCTTTATCATTCTAGTGGTGTCCTTTCAGTGAATAAAACGTTGCATGCATTACTTTCTGATTGTCTAGAAAGCCGGCTTCATGCTCCCTTGTCACTTTATAACGAGGGAGCATGGAGCCGGCTTCCCGGCCAATCAGGAAGCCGGGCGCCATGTAATGACGCATTGCCCAGCTTCCTGATTGGCCAGCTTCTCGACCAATCAGGAAGCCGGGCAATGCGTCATTATACAGTGCCCAGCTTCCTGACTGGCCAGAAAGCTGGCTCCATGCTCCCTCGTCACCAGGGAGCATGGAGACGGCTTCCCTGCTAATCGGGTGGCAAGTCATTACACCCTTCCTTAATAGGACTTCCGGTATCGGTATTGGAGAGTACCGAAAAAAAAAAAATCAGTACTCGTAACCGAAAAAACGGTATCAAAGCATCACTAGTTAAAAATCAAAGAAAGGTTTGAACAACATTCCTCAAATCTCTAACAGTATTATCGAATGTTCTGATGAGATATTTTTATACAAACGTTTGCAAAACCTGTTGTACTGATAGAAGAAAATGTATGGACCCAAATAACTTAATATGCAGGTGCTTGCTTAACTCTACATTAAAATAAGCATGGTCTGCAGCTGCTGTACAGTGACATCCCCATTTTTGTTATATTGCTTCCCCAGGTTGGAGCCCCTGCACTTGGGGGAGTGCTGAGATTGTCACACAAGCGATGTACACATGAGAATTGGTCTTTGTGTGTAGCGTTTTGCCCCTTAGATTCTCCCAGTGTCCCAACATCTACCTTCCTTGGCTTCACTTGTTAGGAGTTCCCCGGTTAGGCCACCTTTCCGCCTAAATGCACTTACTTGTATTCAGAAGCAGAAGAGCCTTCATGCACAGGAATTCCTCCTGGCTGACCTGTAACTTCACAAACTCCTGCGGCAGCTGCCTCATTGAGACACAGAGGGAATAAAACGATGACTCTTTCATTCTTTGTCTGAGGAAACAAACATTTGACAAGTCTTATGTCCAATATAAATCTGTTCTATTTTGCTGGTGATACTGAAATGAGACTCAGAAGACTCGTGTCCCACGTTTCTGTTACATTTCCGAGAGACAATATGTGGAGTTTTTAGAAAAAGAAAATATGAAGGACTGCACTGATCTCCAATGGTATCTACACGCTACATTGTCATTATATTATAAAATAACTACAAACCCTTCTGTTCCAAGTGTACATTTGTTCAGTGTTCTATTGCCAGGAACCATTCAGCACATATGCTTCTTAGTTAGGGAAACCCATCTCCTACATCCCATAGCTGAATAACCAGAATCTTGGCATTCCTGTATCAAATCTCCTTGCTGTGCCCTGTGTAACATGCATCAGGCAAGCAACATATATAAGAAGACTTGTCCCTTTTTATAGTAAATGTGAGCTAAATCAGACATTAAAGAAGAACTCTGGGAATTTAAACCGCACTGTAAAATTACAACTGGAGAATGAAAGTTGGAATATGACTTCCATGAGGCAATGCAGACAGATCACTTTAATTGAGGCCCCATAGGATTACATGGAAAATATAAAGGAACACAATCATTAGCTTTTAGTTCCACAATTTCTAAAATAAAATCTAATATCAAAGCAATACTTACTCATTCAGAATTAAATCTGGTGCAAAGTAAAGCATCTGCCCGCTGACGTGCTTATAGGACCTCCATCCCATAGCAAACACCATCAGACTCATCCAGGAATATTGTAGGAGGATAATCTGATCATCAATATGCAAATTCCTAAATCCTAGGGAGAGAAACGAACGGTAACATTGCAAAGTATGAGCACTCAAATCCTGGTGCAGTTATTCACCAGCATTGTATTAAAATTGAGGGACCTCCAGAGGGATCACTAGACGCAACATATTGGTTCTGGGACATAACCAACCAACCCCGGTACGGAGTGGGTGATACAAAGTGTAGATGGGTAAATTCAGTGTGCATAGGTTCATTAAGGCTGAATTTATGATCAGTTTTAGATATTTCCATGAGTTCCATCTAAGCACTTTCATAGGTGCATCTGATTTGTATTTTTCATCTCCTCTGGACATGCATTTGACCACCTGCTGACCTTCCATTTGACCCCTTCGGACCTCCTCTTGACTTGCATTTGACCTCCTTCTGACCTCCTCTTCACCTGCATTTGACCTCTTTTTAATCTTCCATTTGACCTCCTTCTGACCTTCATCTGACCTCTTCTTAACCTGCATATGCCCTCCTCTTGAACTGTTTTCGACCTCCTTCTGACCTGCATTTGACCTCGTTTTGATCTGCCATTTGACCTCCTTCAAACCTGCATCTGACCTATTCTTGATCTGCATTTGACCTTTCCCATTTGATTTATATAGAGAAAATAATAAATTCTGAGTTCTGTAGACATGTTCTTATTTAGTACAAAGTCAATCTAAATGTGTCCTGTCTGCATAATTCAACCAAACTGTTCTGATGCACTGAATGACAGCTGAGTCCGTGATCTCTTCCACAGCCTAACCTGCTAGCAATTGCATAGGCAAACTGTATGGAAGTGTCAGAGCAGAACAGCTCTTGAAGTGAACCTGTCAGCCATTTTAAAACTCCTTCCTAAGGCAAAGGGAATTCTAATTGGGACTTTTACATATATTGTGTATATAAAAGCTGAAAAATGGCTGAAAAATTTAATCTAAAGAAAACAGCTCCAAAAATACACTAAAACCAGAGGTACTGGAGAAGCCATTCACACTTGCATCACCTCGCTCTGCTTTCTATAGGGCTTTGATCAGTGTGCCATAGAAGTTTTTTTTTAGGTGCAACTGAAGTCAAAACTTTTTTTTTTTAATTTTGGATAGAGTGGAGAGGGATTAGAGCAGATGCCAGGTTTTTATTGCTGTCTGTGTCCCCGTTAAGGAGATTCACCCTTCATATTTATCCTGGTGAATGTTATCATCACTGAAAGTAAAAGAAATCACAAATTATGAGTTGTCATCAGAACAGGAATCAATAGGAAATCTTCCAATGCCTGACCACCAGGCATTTCCCTCACTTCCTGTTGTGGTTATTGGACAGGAAGTGAAGGGAAATCTCCCCAATGTGACACAGCTGGGAAAAACAAACCTGGCAGGTTTTAACCCTTCCTTACTATTTTCAGTTTTTTACTTCAGTTCTACTTTAACTCATAAGAACAATCATTTTGAGTCATCTTGAGCCTCAAAACCGTACACTTTAACTGACATCAGCAATGTCATTACCTGGTAGGGATTTGGACCACTTCACCACACAGAGGAGTTGTCGTTCACATAGCTGGTTGAGACTACACAGCAGAGCGCTGGGGGTTTCGGGCTTAGTGTTGTCATATCCGGCATACACCACCTCGGGCTCTATACTCTGTAGAATCTGCAGAAGTTCTGGAAAGTACTGAATCTCTTGTGTTGAACTTGTAGATGTTCTACGTGTCAGAGACTGACATTCCACGGAGGTGGTGGAGGGTTGCTGCATCACGGTCCTGTCCGGCTCCCTTCCGGGTTTCAGTCTGTTAAACTTTTTGAACTTTCGACCTATGTTGCATTAGTGAAATAAATGAACTTTGCACGATATTCTAATTATTCGAGTTTCACCTGTATATATATATATTAGGGTGCTCCCTGATGTCTTCCATGGTCTTAGTCCTAGTCTGCAGGTGTACTGCTCATATATAAGGCAAGATGCAGACTTGGTGAGTGTGAGCAAAGCCATTTCTACAATAATCTAGTGCTCTAATGGTGGCTCTCAGCAGAAAGAACAGAGACTATATATGCAAATGTGTTTAAAGAAAACTGCAGGCCGAAATTGTATTAACCCTTGCAGTGGGGCTACTGCAAGTGTTACGTGCTTGTTTTTTTCTTCTGTTATACTCACCTAAACCTCCGAGCTAGACGGCTCCCACACCAGTCCCTGGAGCTTCTCTCTCCCTCTGCTGCTGTCTAGGAATCCTCCAGTCATCACGTCCAATACAGTGTATAGGGTGTATGAGGGTGCCTAGGGACATACCATCGCTGGAGTGGAGGACGAGACTGTTTCAAGGATCAGGTGGGTATAACTTATATGTAAAAAACAAACAAACTATACTATAAAAAAAAAAACCCCGCGCAGTCAATCCTTGCAGTGCGGGGGTAGCTTCACTGCAAGGGTTAATACAATTTCTGCCTGGAGTTTGCCTTTAATGTCTCTGAATATAGCAGAATAGCTGATATGTTTAAAAGTGTAGTTATTTTATGTAGTTATTATTATAATAATATATCTATATGTTATATTAAAAAATATATATTATATTTAAAAAATATATATTTTTTATAGTATTTATCATTTGATTGACTTTGAATTTTTTCCAAACACCTAAATACACAGGTAAAATACACATATGATAGCTGTTTCATCTGCCAAAGGATTTGTATTTATCTCCATCCGGTTCTGACATTTACACAGCTCTACCATAAAGCACAGTGCTTCTTGGCATGGTAGGGAATTTGATCTTTCTCTCTTTACTCCACACCTTCCCCTTGTGATTTCACAGTGAAAGGTGAAGCATCACACATCTCTCGGTCACTCTGCTCTTTCCACCTCTCAGAAAGCTCCTTGTACCGCAGCACACCTAACTCCTGGTGCTGCTTCCCTCTCTCCCTCTCCAGGGGTGTGTGTAATTCCTATCACCAGACGTTGGGGACATGCAGTTCCAGGCGCCAGGCAGGTGTTTTTTTTCTCTACATCTAGCCCTGCTGCAGGCAAGAAAGGGAAGCCACCGCTCGTTCCGTACAAGTGATCAGATCACATGTAGCAGCTTGCTTGTTCCCCCAAACACCCCCCTTACACACACCTCTCTGCTGTGGTTTTCGGGGCCCCCCGCTCTTTTGGGAGAGCCAGGACCACGGCAAATGATTTCAGGATGGAGAGTTGGGAGCAGACCAGAGAACGTCTGTTCTCCAATTTCCTCTGTGTGATCAGTGAGACAGGAGTGGCTCTATGTGTCTCAGCTGTCACAAGCCGGCTGCACAGGAGAATGAGCACAATGCTGTGCTATCTGTACCCCCTACTACTGTCCAGCGCAGCCCTGCACCATGGATTTAGAATTTCGCTCACTAATTGCGAGCACTCATTGGTCAGCGTGATCACCTGACTGCACTGACTAATGAGAAGCGCTTCTTAGCACAGTTAAATATGGTTTTGGTTAAAACAAATTTTAGTATCACGACAAGTAGATTGTTATGAGGATCAAGTAGATTGGGCTCCGCTTTAGTCTTTTAGACAAGTAGTTTAAAAAAAAAACACTCCTGCTCTCCAAGCTCTGCTGTACAGTAGACTGTAAGGCCTCATTAACACTGCTAAGAGCCGGCCTGTACATATCCGTGCAGCATACACAGCCGTATTGGGCCGTTCCGGGGAAGGACAGGTGCTGCGTGTGATTGTACGCAGCAGTCTGTTCTTCTCTATGGGAGGATGTGGCCATACGCTCACTCGAACTGCACATCCGCCGGGTCAGGGTGTCCGTGCTCGGACGCAGATAGGATCCATCCTGTCTGCATACGAGTACGGACACACACACATGCGCGGATGTGCAGCTTGGGTGAGTGTACAGCCGCATCCTCTCATAGAGAAGGATCAAAATTCTAAATCTATGACCACATACACACGATGTTCTATGCTATCCATAATGGGAGAGTGTTACATTTTCATTCCAATAAGAACACAATAAATCATGGGTGGCAGAAGGCACATCATTCACTAATGTTTGTGTATTTAATTCCCAGCGGTAATTGCTGCGAATGCATTAAGCACGGCCGTGACTAATGGTTAACTCCAAGATAATTACAGTTTAATTCCCTCTAGTTTCTTGTCTGCAGCTTCTCCCAAGCCTACCTCCAATAATAAGGTAATTCGCTTTCCAACACAAACGACAAAGTACTCAACGAGAGTTAACTAATTTCCTTCAGGTGCCTAAGTGCTTGTTCACACCACGCAGCTGTGTGTTATTGTGCACAGAACGTGTGCGCGCTGGTGTGAATGTGCGCTCTTTATGGCTTCTTTCTTTTATGCCAATGTAATGAATTACAACGTACAGCTCGCGGTATACTGAGCCTAGGGTTACCCTAAGGAGAACTATGGGGAAAAGCCTTAACCCTATAGTTCTCCTTTAAAAAAACAAAACCCAATTTCTTACATAGTTACATAGTATTTGAGGTTGAATAAAGACATTAGTCCATCAAGTCCAACCTATTAGGATCTCATTCTAGGAGTACCTGTACCCCGGTATATTACGGTCCCTTAAGAAATCGTCCAAAAGTTTCTTGAACAATTCCACATTCTTTGCTGAAATCACCGCCTGTGGCAGTGAGTTCCAGACCCTAACTGATCTTACTGTGAAGAACCCCCTTCGCCCCTTGTGCTGGAATTTTTTTTCCACCAATTTTAGGTGGTGGCCTCTAGCTTTTGCGATGGAGTTAATTTTAAACAGTTTATCGCTAATGTTGCTACCACCATTGAACATTTTGTACATGGAGATCATATCCCCCCTTAATCTCCTCACCTCCAATGTGAACATGTTTAAATTTAGTAGCCTTGTCTCGTAGCTCTGGTCCTCCATACCCCTAATTAGTTTGGTTGCCCTCCGCTGGACTTTTTCCAACTCAAGGACATCTTTTCTTAGTACTGGTGACCAGAACTGGACCGCGTACTCCAGATGAGGTCGAACCAATGATCTATAAAGTGGCAAAATTATAGACTTGTCCCTGCAATACATCCCCTTTTTAATACAGGACAAGACCCTGCTAGCTTTGTTTACAGCAGCCTGGCACTGCAAACTACCTTTCAGTTTGTGGTCTACAATGACCCCCAAATCCTTCTCCATTTCTGACTTCCCCAGCGGCATACCCATAATTGTATAACCCATTTGTTTATTTTTAATTCCAAAGTGCATTACTTTGCATTTATCGACATTAAACCTCATCTGCCACATTAATGCCCACTCCCCTATTTTATCCAGGTCCTCCTGTAATGTTATAATGTCTAAGTCCGTGTCTATTACCCTCCCTATTTTGGTGTCATCCGCAAACACAGAAATATCGCTGTTAACACCCTCCCCGATGTCATTAATAAATAAGTTAGTTACCTTTTAGATGTTTCTTTGGAGGAGGCCTTTGGGCAGACTGCAAGCTACTCTGAACAATTTCACAGTGAGCTTGTCCACATACAAAGACTGGGGACATGCTGAGCTTCCTCTCATTAACAAACAGTGCTTCTCAATTTTTAACCCTTTGTTAAGGCAGGCAGTGTTCAAATCTAGTTTACAACTGATATCACTGGTCTACAAGGAGAAAGCCTCGGCAATGGAAGTAGCAAACGTTTACCAGAATTGGGTCACTAATAAAGGAAAATGAAGTCCTGAGTATTAATTGGCTCCAGTTTCCAAGAAACAGCTTCAAGTCAAAATTGCATCAAAATCATTCAAAATTACAATGGGGGTGTGCGATTGTGCTCCATAACTGTTCTGCAAAATGTGATGTAGCAATGAAAACAGTGCCACACCAATCATTATAAATGTATCTTTTTTTTTTTAACAATACATTTTTATTAAGGTTTTGCACAATACAAGACACTAATACAGCGTGGGTAAGGCTGTGCCACTATACAGTAGTCAAGACTTTCAGGTGGTCATATATAGAGCGAGGTGGATATGAGGCAAGATACAGCTCAAACACGTAGGACAAGAACAAAACTGCAGATTAAACATCAGGTACAATGCATTCATCATCTTCATATCCAACCAGATAGCCCTTCAGTAACAGGCCTTGAACCAAAATGCACTGCTTGGTGTGTGATATGAGGGGTAATAATACATGCATCTTTTATTGATACCAATAACATAACTTTCCATTAATTTATTATAATTGGTGGGTTCCCTCCACATCATTGGGACTGCAAAAGGCATGGACTTTTTCTTCTTGTTTAGCCAATGACACAGATAAGTTGCACATGTAATGCAACAATAATGGGGAGCCTAGTGGTTGTCGTCATCCCCTAGTTTGCATCCAAAATATAGGTGGTACTAGGGATGTCCCGATACGGGCCCGATACAGGGCATTTTGACAAGTACTTGTACTTGTCAAAATGCCCAGATACAAAGCGCCGAAGCTTGCGCTATGTTTTCTTTTTTTTCTGATCCATAGTACACAACATGCAGTTGTACTATGGATCATTTAAAGTCACCTGTCCCTTTAAGAAAAAGTATCGATAATTGGTATCGGCAAGTACATGCGGGGAAGTACTTGTACTTGTACTTGGTCCTGAAAAAGTGGAATCGGGACATCCCTAGGTGGTACGCCTTTTCTACCACTGCCGTCATACTGCACTTTTGAGATGCAAATGTAACCTCGCCACAAATGTAGCAGAACGTATCTGCGTTGTTTACACAGTTTCAAGGCATTTTGGCTTCTGAGGGAAAATATCACGCAACTGTTCCTTGGAAATGTTCGGCAATGACACTCTCACAAGCCACCAGATGCAACTGTATGATGCGTAGATCTGA